GCCGACATGCTCTCGTCTTTTTTTGAAGTCCGTTCACCGGGAGATGGTGTACCAGCTGCACAGGTTGGATCCGGGAAACAGATCCGTCACCCACGCGCGGTTGGCGACGAGATTAAGGCACTTCTTTCACGCAGATTGAACGTCGTCTCTTCGTGATCGTCTTTTTCGAACGCGGCCGACATGCTTTCGTCCTTTTTGTCGATGAACGCCTTCTCGGCCGCCGTACGGTTTGCGGAGTGCATCCTGGCTCCCGCGCAAATGGCGGCGAACACGAAAAACGACACGACGATCGCCACGCTGCATCCGATCATCTCCAGAGTACACGAACGTTTCTCCACGTCCGCGGACTTCGCCGTTCTCAAGACACCCCACTGGTCCTAATTCAACATCGGAGTGAATTTTCGATCGATCTTCGTGTCTTCGCTTCCGATCGTCTCCAGCAGGGTTGAATCGGAGACGGCGACCGACCCCGAAGTTCTTTCCAGCACCACGGATCCTCCGACTACCCGTTCGACGGTCACACGATTCAGACGGATGGTGCCTTCGGAAAGAAGTGGAGACGCCCGAACCACGACTTTCGGGGGAACCTCGACGTGAGTCTCGTTCGAGCCGTTCGTGTAACTCAAACGTTTCAAAGTCACGTTGAACGCCCTGCCAACACCGGTCACGCGCACCAACGAAGAGAGATCGCCTCTCGCTCCGACGTACCCGTCGCAGCGGAACTCGAATCCTTCGACGTGCACGTGGCTGTCGATCAAGAAGACGTTGCAACCGTCCCGTCCGTCGGCGACCGCGATGATTCCCTCTACGCACATCGGCAGCACTGTCACGTTCGACAGGAAGACGGGTCACAGATCGTAAGGCAGGACGCTCAGCAACGACGACTTCTCGCAAGACGACGGATCTTCCGCCGACGCGTCGTCCGGCACGACCACGAACGTGTCCCTCCCTTTCGAACCGAACTTCAAATCTCCGAGACTTCCCGACTGCCTCCGGCACCGGCCCGGCAAAACCGATAGCAACATTAAAAATATTGCAGTCGTAATAAACATCGTAGCGGTCTTCGTCGTCACTCGATCAAACGCTAAACTTCATAGTGGATAAGTGTGTTTTCGAGGACACCGAGTTAACCGACCATGGACTTCTTCGCCCAAGATGAGTTGCGTTTGGCGCTGACGATAGGTCTTGCGGTCGCCGTATTGATCGTGAGCCTTTTCCTGCTGAGCTGCTGCCTTAAAAGACGCATGGACAATTCAGGAAGCTACCGACCGGTCGTGAAGGAGGGTCGAAGCTCGTACTACACCAACAGACTGTCCGAAATTCACGCTCGGACTACGCTTGTTTGAAAGTCGATTAAAAAAAAATACGA